ATTTATTTTACAGTGTCTAGCACTTAATACAGTATCTTTTATTTTCCTACGCCCAGGAACCCACAAGATAGATAACCGTACCAAAGACTTACTTTACATAATTGGTATAAAAAGTAATAAATATTCTAAATCTCAGAACGTGGATATTGAAGAAAGTTCCCAATCTATACTATCTATCTCGTCACCCCTAAACACTTTTACATCTGCTATGATTCTGACATTTTCTCCACGGTATCAGAGATTAAGAAAAATGTCGATCCCTGCATTGAGTAGGTAAATGAGGTCGATCAAGGAACAGTTAGCGGTAGCTCGGAACTGGGTATGAGAGGATTCAGGTGGGAGAGAAACCGAGAAACGACGAAATGACGGCGGTCGATGGACGGTTCGTTAAGTAGATGGCTGGTCGGGGGGGCTAAGCACCAAAACCACCTCACTGTGGTTTCACACCCGCAGACCAACGGGCAGAGATCCGCGCAGCGCCGTGAAGGAGCGGGACACGAGGAGAAGGAAGTAGTAAACAACTCGGAGTTCCTTCGGTCGAGGACTCGTGCGTTCCTTCGGCCAGCAGGATCAAACGGCGTTCTACGGCGAAGGCGAGAGGTTACAACCTCCCCTCCTGCCCCGTAGCCGATTCTTCAATGAATCCGGCGGCGCGGTGACCAACGCCGTGACGACACAGTGAATCGATCGATGGGAAAGCTGAAAGCACGGATCGTTGAGCCGTGATGCACTCTGCCCCTGTGTTGCAAATCCTACGGTATCTGCGGTTAGAACGATGAAACTATAAAGCGTTTTCTGGTATCTGAAATCCAATGACTTCATCCGATCGTTTTTTTCTTTTACACCTACGTAAAAGTTCGTGGCCCGTGAATGAATACAAATATTCAGTAATTCAGCTATTTATAAAATAACGTTGAAACTTTATCTCATACCCGAAGAGGTTTGCTGATTCTGTAATTTCAATGTGTTATCAATATTTAGTTCGTATTAATTCTTTTGTATCATAGATATATAATATAATATATAATAATTATATAATAAACTGAACATCCAACGATTTCTTGCTGACCTCAGAATAGAGAAAATATGTTTTGAAGGAGTTTCTGTCTCTCGCTCACATATCGATAGAAAAATGGGGAACTCTATTCATTTTCTTTCTCTCAATTGCTTGGTTTCAAGCCTTCCATTTAGACACTTCATCTATTCTCATACTACGGACAATACACGACATAATGGAAATTTTGCTATTTATATTATTTTCCTCGCGATTAATCGCTGAAAACAAAATCCAGCTTTAAACGATTTCTCGTTAGCGCAACAATGACCTCTGTTCGTATTCCCGTGGCAATTTTTATGATACTTTGAATATTCCCCGGTCAAGTGATCTCTCAGATTCGACCTCCTGGTGGTTCATAGAACTAGTCGCCTCCTCGTCTTCCCTGAACGAAGGCACGAAATAGTCCACTGACTGGCTATTATTATCCAACAGATGGCCGACCTACGTTGGCGTGCCTTTGTTTTGTTACCGTTGTTCCGGTAATTGCGGCAAATACATGGCCATTTTCGGTAATCATCCGCACGCCCCCATCCCCCAGCGTGGCGCGGCGCGCGGCGGTCCCCTTTGAGAATTCCGAAACGGCCTCGACCTTCCTTCGGCCAGTAGGCGTAACGACAGTTTTACCGACGACCTCGACCCTGTCTTACTACGGTAGACCGTGAACTTTCCTTCAAAATCGAACGATGAATGACTGAGAAATTCATTGAAAAATAAAATGGTTTCGCAACTCGACGTACATTCAACAGTTATTGAATATTTTAGCGCATTGAGTAACAGTTCGCGAAATAATTGTTCTGTAATGTAATTCGATACGGACGATTGCGAAAGTATTTAATTTACCAGAGAGAAATCGAATTTTGCACAGATTTCCGGACGAGATTTTTTCCGCCCGGTAAGAAAGTCATATTTCACAGAACCAGCGTAACGTTTCCGTTTACGGGTCAAGGCGGGGTAGCCGGCAAAGAGAATTGATTAGAAAACCGTCGATTTTAATAGCCGATAAATCTCGGCAAGTTTCGCCATGGCTTTACTCTCTGCACGCTCGGTTGTAATCGGCGCTCGCGCGCGTTTGGATTATAATGGGGGCTGTTGGCCGCGCGCAAGAAAATAGTCGGTGGTTTTGTAATTAACGGTTGCTAATTCCCTCGTAAACCTATAGACGTAGTCGCTTTACGCTTACGCGGCCTCATCGAATTGTTTAACCCGACGACGACGACGACGACAACGCTGCCAAGTCAATGGCAGCTCCTTAAGAACTTTCATGTATATTTCCTACTTTGTTGCATCGGACGTTTATGGCTTCCACGGTGGATTAGTAGGCGAATTTCATGACTGTCCGTCGAGAATCTTCTTCGGATATTTAAATTAGTGTTTCACAATTCGAACATTCAGAATTAAATGCGTTTAATCTTAAGATCGGAATTAGTTACAAACTAAATAGTCAATGAGTAGTAATACAATAAAAAAAATCGAGTAATCCTATATCGAAAAATGAGACGAAAATGTAGAATAAAATTTGCTCGTATGTTATTTCTATGTAAAAAGTAATATGGACTATTCGAGGCCATCCAGATGACCAGCACTGCGTGTATTTATTAAAGAAAGGTTTTCGACAGAGAGACAAGAGATTTCGAAACTATAGGCTTCCCCGTAGCGAATGTCTTCTCGGAAATCGGACAACGAATGCGCCCTTGAAGAACAGTGTTTCGTCATCGGGCGACGACTATCCGCTGAGAATTACCAATTGCTCGGACTTTCCACCAACAACGGTTCCCGCTACCGAAGAGTCTATCCGTCACGTATGCGTCTCCGGGATAGCGAATACGAGTTCCTTGAACCTTTATACTATACAGTGACTCCTATTAGTATTACCTATTTCAAAACAGAATAACTTTTTTAATATTGAACTGAACGATTCAATTTTCTTCAGGACGTTAGAAGGCTTAGTTTACTATATGTATAATGTGTAACAAAAAAGGAAATTACTATTTGTCTTGAAGAAAACAGTAAAGGATTTTTAACTTTTTTATTAGAGTTTCCAATCCAAATTTGCAACATGCTTTTTATAGATGTAAATATGTAGATTTTAGGCGAAAACTCGTACAAGTTTCGATTTTCACCATTTTTAACTATTCATAGCTAATAACAATGTTAATGAATTTTGATAAAAATTTTAGCATACACTTAACTGCGTTATTTAAATTTTCAACTAACTACTTGTTGCTGTATAACTATCAACTTGTTGCTTTAGTATGTTGGCGAATGGCGAATGGCTGTTATAACAAAACGAAAACTCACTTCAAAACGCATAAACTCTACATTCATTTATATCATTGATCTAAACTGGACGAAACAATATTAACTTAGATCATAATAAATCGGAGTATCAACTATATTAATATACGTGCATAAGTATGATTTAATTCAAATTCTGAACACCAATTTTTCTATAAATCCATAAAATCCACAGTCTGTTCATCAGAAATGCATATATTAAATTCAAAGACACGTAAATCTAAAGACCGGTAAATTACGAAGCGCGCATAAATGTCACTGATGACGAATGCAAAATGAAACTGTATAGTGAAGGTAAATAAATTTGCATGAGAGAATAGAAAAAGGAAAAACGCGAAGAAATTCGGTGCGTCAATGTATTTAATAATAATTAATCAGGTTCTGTTGATTCGTCGAATAGAAACGATCGGTGTAACAAAAGTTTCACCGAATCACTGGTGAGTCAGCGCGGCAACGTTTTCCTCTCCGTTTCCGTAACTTTTACCTCGGTTCGTCACCTCGCAGGGAAGAGAGAGAGACACTACTTGGAAATTCATTGGACGTCCGACGGAAGTCGCCAACTCCGCGATAAATATTTCACGAGATGATAATTAATATCGGATAATTACCTACTGGTTCATAGAACAAAAGACACGTGTAATACACATAGATTTATCGCAATTAAATCGGCGAATCGTGATACACTGGAAACTCTTTTCTCCAAGAAACGTAATTGTTTAGCATGTTTCTGTGTATGTATGTGATGTATGTATGTATGTATAGCGATCGTTTAAACTTCCGGAATGCTTTGACTCGTGAATCATTTCAATTAATCTTAGCGAGTTACTCACTCGGAACACCCGTTACCGTTTTACAGGCAACGTTCAAACGAGTCAATTGCCTTGTTCCGTAGAACCTCAGGTTCAGGAATTAATAACACATTACACGTAATGGCTCGCAATTTACAAAATTGATCAGACCAGGATACAGATGTTTTATTTTTACAAACGATAATAATCCATTTATAGAGCGGATTCTATAAATTCTATTAATTCACAAAAACACACAACGAAACTTTATTAATCGTGTGTGTATGAACTCACAGAATTATAAAATTCAGTGGCGTAGCTACTGTATAGCAAGGATCAGAAATGCGGAAGTGCAAGGAATTTCAGGATCAGCACGGGCGAACTGAGGAGAAAATAAATAATATAAAATACTGTCCAAATAATATAATATTTACAGAAAAATACAAATTTTTCTACTAACTTCTTGGAATATTATTTATTATCCTCGTCACATGGATAGAGAGGAAGAGAATTACCATCAGTCAAAGCAAATTGCACAAACTTTCAATATCAGCACCTGAACATAAAGAACTGCAAATAAATATGACAGACTTGGGTTTTTTACCTGTATTACAAACATGAAATTATAAATATGAAGTACTACTTAATTAATATCTAAATTAAATACTGAGGTCAAAGAATAACGTAGTCTAGATACTCATATGTAGATTTGATTGACCTTTATTTTTGTAATTATTGTTTTTATCATTCCCAAATAATATATACATATATGACAGAATTAATTAATGATTTTGTAAAAAACACGAACGAAACAGTTTTAATTTTGATGTTTTAATTAAGTATGATTATTTTTATTGCAGATACGAGTGCAGTGACAGCGGAGTGGCCTTACTCATCAGCGGCGCCGTCTTATCCTGCGCCTCCGGTGAGTATCGGTGGTTCCTTCTCACCTGGCGCGTTCTCCTACCCAGGCGAGTCCCTCTCTCATCATCCAACTACGGAACCAGTGCCACTATCCACTGGTAAGTACTTACCTGAACCGCTCCAATGTTTTAAAAAAAATGCCCAACTCCTTGCGATATAACGTCTCGTGACGCAGAACGTGTTCGAGGAAAACTGTGATTCTCGTTCTAACGTAAAGTTGCACAGTAAACAGCTTGTTGGCTCGCTTTTCCCACTCTGCGCGTATCTAAACTTGTTTACGAAGATTATTATCACCGAATGATAAAAGAATTGCTTGTACTTAATTGTTAATGCAACTTTTAACTCCAACCTCGTCTCACACCGTCGCGTATCTCCAAGCATGACATCGTGCAGCACCCAACAGCACCTGATCTTCGCTTGCGCTTTCGTAAACTTATTTTCTGGAATGGAACATCATTAACACAGAATGACAAAAATTTGCTTGCAATTATTAACGCAACTTCGAATTCTCATCTCGTCCAACACTGCCGCGTACCTCCAAGCACAATTTCCTGCAACGCCCAAGAGCACCCGATCCTCGCTTCAGCAATCTAAGTGGCGAAAAGTGGGAATATGATTTAATGAAAAATTGTACAGTTCTCCCATCAGAGAACCAACAAGACACGTACACGCCGAACTGCGTGTCGATGTACCCGAGCCACGGTTCCACGTCTGCCTCTTTGCCGCTGGTACCAGCGAAGTCCAACGACCCAGACATCTTCGCGAGCAGCGGCACCGGGAGCGGCAGTCCCGGCTATCACTACAGTTCCTGGACCTCGGCGCCCGCGACTCCGGTCCCGGTCCCCTCCCACAATTACAACTCGAATTACCAGGGTTACTACAACAATCCGAACCAGAACTACGCGCCCATGGTACTCTACCCGCAGTTGTACAGCACGGTAAACCAGAACCAAATCCATTTGCATTTGCACGGGGACTTGAGCGAAGAGCAGGTGACCATCGCCGGCAGCAACCTGACGATCAGTAGCAACAGGCTGGAGATCGGCGTGATGGGCGAGGAGAACGAGCAAAGGAACGACGTGTGGAGACCTTATTGAGCGGATCAAGGACAGATACGATTGTGTACCGGTGTTATAAATGTGATATCGCGGAGAGAATTATGTGCGCGGTTCGAACGAGTTAAGGGAGTCGGTGTTAACTGGTAGTGCTCGAAGGGAACCGATTTTTCGCGGTCGGACATCGTCCGAGCTGGAGCGGTGTTGTAAAAAAAAAGTAAGAATGAGAGAAGGAAAGTTTCGAAGTGTTAGAAAGGATCTCTTCGTATCGAGGAAACTTTTGCAAATAAAGAAGTGAATGAGAGAGAGAGAGAGAAGCGGACCGATCTCGATTCTCGGGTGTAAACCGAGCCAGCGCGAGCGCGTATCCGCAAAGTGGGAAGACAGTCGTGTAACATTGTAAATACAGATATTTTCCATGAAATAAAATCTTGCCTGAACAGGTTCCTGCACACGCCCCGTTCCACCGGACATAGATAGGCGACTCTTCGCGGAGCTTCTGCTTTTACGAAGTTACACAGATTTAGAAACTAGATAAATTAATAAAATTTCCAAAGAAAAAGTCGAATTGAATCTAAGGTAAATGTACCAATTTCTGTTCACCTCGCAATTACAACTGGTATATTTTTCTATAATTTTACATGCTATTTTATAATTATAGAAAAATTAGCCAGTGAGTAGAAATTGGGATATTCACCTTACCTGTAGACTGATTTTCTCAATGATAAATTATCCTTGTCAGCTACGTACTTATTTTTATGGAATCGAGTATGAAGATTCGTTCCATAATGCAATCCTTTACATGAATTTAATTTCTACCTGCAAGCCTGTCAAGGGGTTTATAAACTTTTCGCTCACGGATAAAGAAACTGACTAGTGTTCGTTAACAGAAAAGTCAAAGGAACGAGCTAATGAATAGATATTTCCCTTGTGGAAAAAATCTTTGTCTGAGAACACGGGACAGCGGGCCAAAGTATGGTGCGGTCGTCTCTTTTCCACAGAGGGGCAGAGAGTGCACGGATAATCCTTTTTACGAGCGCACCGAGCTCTATTTAATATTTAAAGCGCACTGGAAATGACGAACTGGATGGATAGTTGCGGTCTCCGGCATTGGCTCACAGTGCGCTGTTTCCCTTTATGAGCGACCCACCCCTTGGTCGCCTTTGCCCCGTTTTTGCGATCTCCAACCCGAGATTCTGGTTATGTAACATCGTACAGAGCAAGACGAGACTCGTTAATATTTTCTTATTAAAATATCAGCGGACTTGAATTCAAATTCAACGGAAAAAATGCAGAAAAAATTATAATTCGCTTGAATTAATTAAAAACAGGTTTGATATAAAGTTCCTGAAAGTTCAGAAATTCTAAGGTACCGCGTTATGCAATGAACGATAGGATTAGTATAAAGTCGTTTAACCGTTGGTTGCAAACGAAATTGCTGCCCGGACGAAGAGTCGACAGGTAATAAAGATTCTACCGTCGGACAACGTGTAGCAGCAAATGGATCTAATCTTCCTGATTAGAATCAGCTGCGTAATGAACGGGTTGCAAACAATTCTCGACCATTCTTGATTTCCTCACTGTTTCCTTTATATGTATGAGTTTGCACTTTATCAAATATTCACGTTACTACAACTGTGTCAAAAGCCATGGAGGCTTGTTTTTTTTTAAAAGAGAGAAGACAGGGAATTCACATTAAAATTAATCGTAGGATCAACGGGCATGGTTTCATTGGGATAGACTGAAACTATTTAACTTTAGCAAAAAGAATGAGTTTGTTTGTTTGGAATAAAGAAGACTAAGAGTCAGACAGACTACGAAAGTTGAGAAAGACACCGCGGTCTCATCCTCACGTTCATCATATTTTCGTCGTCTCTCGAATACTTTGTCCCGCTTCCCTCTTCGCCGATGTTTACAACCACGGCGAATGAGACAGGGAATAAAAGCGTGGAATAAGCCGAGGCGACCGTCGCTCGTAAGCTTCCCTCTTTACGAGGATGACTCGACCGCAGACAAGACTCTCACCCGCCCTTTCCCTCTGCCCGTTAAAAGGAACTTAAACTGCGCTTCGCAGGAAATCGTCGACACCTTCGATACTTCAGATCCGTTGACTCTCGAACGCAATCCTAATCGACTATCTTTTGTTCAATTATTGAATTGTACAAAAAAAATAACTGATAGAAAAACTAACAATGAGAATCTTATTATTCTATTTCTGAAATAATGAAAAATATTTCTAATTTGAATTAATTAATTTTAGTTAAATTAATTTTTTAATGGGACGGATAAAGAGTTGTATTAATTCAGAGTTGAACGCAAACACATGTTCAGTTACCAATCACAGTAATATAATTGTACAATTTTATTATAACTTGGAATAAGTGAACGTTACACGTTCTTACATTACAATAATGGTTAGTTGGATTAAAAACACTATTATTATCGTTAATACTGTCCACAGTTTTATTTAAAGGATGTGTTCGATTATTCGTAGTTCTCGTTATACAATAATAAACAGGAAAGGAAAACAAAGGGTCTACGTAGGCACCTTTTATTATCAATTAGTAAACCCTCCACATTTTCGTTTTGTTAACAATCCGACGTTCAACAATACTTACAACACCGATGGAATCGCAGGATTTTCGGGAATATTGGTTTGATTTATACAACGGTTGGTAATTATTCTTCGTTTCATCCCTAACTTACAAACGATATACAAAATATATGTGTATAATATATATGAGATTATAGTATATATCGAAGCGACAATTGAAACGGAGAACCATTTACTAGTCGTCGGCTAAACATGAAAATCAACGATAAACGATCTCTACCCTCAAGAGTACTATTTACAATAAAATGTCATAGCAATCGTTCCTTCATTTCTGTTTCGATTCTACGATTCTTTTACATAAGAACGTTTTTGGCAACATCATAAAGCAACTCGACTTTCTTATCCCAATTATTTCTCCTTCTTCCTTCATTCCGTAACTCGTAACAACTTAATTACTCCCCCTTTGCTTTTAATAACTCTCCGACACTTGGTTCATTCATGAAAGAAAGCAACAATAACTATAACAGGGATGAATACTTCGGAGACAACAAATTCAAAAAGTCATAATCCATTCCTTCCATATTCCTAAATTCGATTTCTCCTAAAATTGTTCTTGTAAGCCAACCAGATTTTTATTAAGAGATGGGGAATCCATCTTTTCGGAGATTTCAAAGAATCTTTAGGCTGTTCACGAAACGTATCGAAACTCTGGCCGTGTGTTACGTCCGTTCGGTGATTCCGCTGGTCGCAAAGCCTCCCGACGCTCTGCGAGTGGACCGCAAACTACAGTTAAACGCAAAGAGCATAAAACGAGAGGATCGAAGACGATGTGCGTGCGGAGCTGATCGTAAATAAAATCCTTGTCTCTCCGTGTCGACGCGTCCAGCGGACTAGAGACAGTCCACAGTTTTAAAAGGTTCCTCTTGCCGATAAATATCGTTTCACTTGGTTCTCAATTAATCACGAGGAATTCTCTTTAGTTTTCATCTGCTCTCGGAAATCTCGCATTTTCGCTGAGAGAATTATTCAGATTTATCCATCCTTGATAATATTGTGATTCTCTGCAATTCTTTAGTAACTATACTTTGAAAAATCGAAAGTTGTTTTTGTAAACACCGTGAATGTTTAGATTTATAATGATCCTGATTTTTAGTTATAATAGCAAAGAATTTATGATTTAAGAAGTAGTATGCTTTTTTGATAGAATTAATCTGCTCTTTGCTAACATTGACTCTGACGATTAGTCTTTCTTATTTTATTGAAAACTATATTGACTGAAATCCAATTTACCTTGATGAAAAATCAGCGAATGAGAGCTTGTTCTTCACATCAATCACGAGAATACATAAATAAGTTTCTAAATCAGTGTCGTGTTGGCCAGCGGTTTTAGAAGGTGCTGTGAAAATACATCTGTTCCCAGATGTATTGAAGCTGTCCCTAATTGCTCGTTAGCCCGTACAGTACAGCAATTCGGTGGAACAGGGCAGACAGCCGCTGCTTTAAAACCTGGTCAACTGCGTGTCTCGTCAACATCCGCACGCCGCTCACGAAAACAGGAAGCAACGGAATCAGTTGATCGTCCTGCGAACAATAATTACAACTAGATAACATGCTAAACAATGAACAACAAACGAATCGTAATACTACATGTTTGGAAAAAAACCAGAACCAAAAAATCGATATGGGGAAGAGTACCATACGTTGCACAACAATTTTTTCAATTTATTATGATAGAACTCACAGACAAAGCCAAGGTCCAATCGAGCACAGTGCTCAGCATTTCGGCCCAAGCTTTTCTATGCGCCTCGCTATCCTTGCAGACTTGAGTCCTCTTCTGAAACACCGACTCCTGACTCGGCAGCTCTATACTATCATTGACTTCCTCCTCCTCTTTCTTCAAAAACGGATTCGTTCGAAAGCCTCGTTTACTCCGTTCGTAGTCACACAACAGCTCGTCGATGTTGTCAAAGATCTTAGGCGAGTAATTTTGCTCTGCGTTCTCCTCGATCTTCGACGAAACTTTTGGCGACATGTCCAAGTCGTTTGAGGAATTTGACACAGTCGACGCGGCGGTTCTCCTCATTTCTATCACGGATCTACATCGGAAATGATTCGCACTGAAGCGCGGCAGCCTCTCAGAATCATCCATCCCAATCGGTTCAACGAATCTGAGGGAACTTTTCCTCGTCACTAGACACGCGTCACTTCTTCTTCTCTGCAACTTCAATCTCCGCAGAGAACTCAGCTCCTCGTAAGTCAAACCACAATGCGTCGACTTCAATTCCAATACAGAAGTGCCGAAAGAATCGACAGATTCCGTTCTCCTCAAAGATCCGAGCTTATAAAACAGATTATCTTCCTCGTTAATTAATTGCTGAGGTGCCGGGGTGATGGAACTGTATTTTCCGTCGATGTATCCTTCGCTAGAAGTTCCTCCGGATCTGTCTGGATACACAGTCCTCTCTGTAACAGATCCTAATCTGGACAGTGGCCTGGAGTCGTCCGTTTCTGGCTCAGACTGCGGCCCGGAATCAGTAGAGTACTCCACCGCTAGGTCAGACAGTCTGAACGGCCTGGGATCGTCCTCGCACTCCGGCCCAAGCTCCTCCAAACCGCTTTCGTCGTCCAGATTTGGATTATAGTTCTCGATGTCCTCTTGATCTTCCACGGGATCCTCGTCTTGGTCTTCGACCTCTTGGTCCTGATCTTCTTCCATGTCTCTCGGTAGTTTTACTGGCGCTGGAGTAGCTAAACATCTTCTATTGATCGGTTCCCTATTCGGTATCTCCGGGAAATCGTCCGGTTGCGCTATCAACAGATATATCTTCCTATCAGAGAAATTGTCTACTTTGGCATGTTTCCCGTCCTCGTCCAGGACGACATCCACGTAACTCTCGCAAAGTTCTTCGAACGTGGTACGTAATTGTCTCAAATATTTTGACAGTTTCTGAAGATTCGGATCCTTCAGAGAACCTTTTTCATCGGAATTCAGGATAATTTTCACGGTGTCCAAAGAGGTCTCGGTTTCTTCTATCTCATGAAGACAGATTTCGAATAATGTGACGATTTTTATGGTCCAAGCTACGCCAGCTTGCCGGTACAAGTTCGCTGGCTGGGGCAAATTGGCTACTTTTTGTAGCAAGAATTTCAAACCGGGACGGGAGTCGAATTTCAGGGATGTAGCGTATGATAGGTCCAATACTGATAAGAAGATGTCCACGTGATGAGCGCTTAGGTGTGATAAAAACCCGGGGATGAATGCTTTCGGTGATGTTGGCACGGCTGACTGCGGTATCACGTTTGACAAACTGGAATTTGAATCAAAATCATGTGATCTTCTGATAATACTGATTAATCATTTGGATTATAGTTCTCGAATTTTAATGTAATTTAATGTGCAATATAAAATGTTCGTGGAACCCGATTAAAGAATTCTAAACAACAATTTTTTTTGTCATTTAAATACTGCACTCTACTTTTGATATTTTTATAGATTAAAATTGTATAAACTCTCAAATAAAAATAACAAAAAAATGATAACACACTGTGCAGAATTTTAAAAAATTTGCGGAGCTCTTACATCTTGAATTCGTATGTTGGATGGCAAAATTTTGATTTCATTCATGGAAAAATGTAGATCCAGTAATGATAATTTATAATGATATAATGGATTTTACAATACGATGTATAGAATTAGAAATGTACCTACCTAGGAAAAGACGAGTCAGGCCCTCGAAGAAGGACACTGGCGACACAGTGGAGAAGCATTTGGTGGACCAGAAGACCGACCACCAGTGCCCTCAGCTGAACTCTAACGATATAAAGATCGGGATTGAGGGTAGAACCCACCGAGGGTGGATACAGGAGGAAAATGTAGGATCTGTCGTCGAGTCTCCTGGCAGGGTCTTCACCGCGTTGTTCCTCCAAGAGGAACACCTGAAGCCACAATAATCTCCTCAGTTCTCGTTGTTCCCTGATCAAGTTTTCATCGCACGATTCTCCGTAGATGCTCAACACATTTTCTTAATAATAATAAGAGCTTATAAGAAAAATATCTTTATCACCAGAAGCTCGATTCAGAAGTCTTTTCAGAATGGGATAAGTTTTTATATGTGCAATGCATCTTATTTTTCCTGATATGTGACTTCATACAAATCTAATGATAATTGATTATTAATAAATGTACTGTGATATCACTGGTGATAATGACGAAGTAATTTGAATATATGCTATAATGATTCAAGTGAATGAATAAACGAGATAATGTCTTCATACTAAATTGATTCGAGAAGCTACAGAAGCAATCGTGCGTGACATCGTCAATTCCTGTTCTGCTAGTGATGACGGTGACGATGATGATGTGTGGCTAAATGTTTCCTATGATCATTGGTGATTCAAAGATTATGGGGTGATGATTACTATTTTACATGATTATTCCTGAGCCTAACAGGATGGTCGTACGTGAAATTCGGTCAGTCGAGTAAACGTGTGCGCATTCTACGAAAGCTGCAGCTTCTAGAAATAGGTGTCGTGTATCTCTCATCACGTACATATTATGTGACAGTGAAATTCTAGCCATGGACTCAAGCCATGGATTTTAATGGTGATACGCAATACCGTGCCAACTTGAATTTAAAATGATACATCTCGGCCAACGACGACGAGGTCCTTCCTCGATTAATCAATCAATTATTCAGAGCACCTTCGTTTTACTCGCGGTTAGGCTGTGCCCTGCTTTTCATTCTTCGACACGTACATCTGATTTTATCGATCGAACTTCTTTAATGTTTCAACTTTTAGATCGCCAGCATTAATTACGTTACGTCTTGAAAAAGTCACACAAATTTGCAATTATATGAAGGATACATGTCATATAAAGTAACAATCCATTGTTAAGGCGATATTTCGACGGTCTAAAGATTAATTAAGGTAAGAGTGAAAGTGAAAGGACCTCGTCGAAGAGGTTCTGCAGCCTGATTTGTGCCTTCTACCAGCGAGTGCAAACATCTAAACGAGGTGATACTTATATTCGATTACCAAATCGTGTCGCCGCAGTTGTCGCGTCGACAGGCTTACTTCGATTCGTCTCCAAACTCGATTGTTTAAGAATAGAAAAGAGGGGTAAAAAAGGGGTGCAATATATAAGAACGAATCAGCGAATGATAAAAGCAATCTGTATTTGGACACATTCTGTATCGAACACATTCGAGCCGGTACAAAAATACATTAAAAACAACGAACGTGTTGACAATACGCAAATAGTCTCAAGTACAAAGATCTTATTATCCGTTTTATCCCTTTTTAACAATCAGAATTGCAACAGTGGTATAGAATTTGGTTAAAAACCGGTTCGGAGACTTGTCTTTCCTTCTCATCATTAAAACAACCGTTCGGAGGTATTTAATTCTACACCACCGTGATATCAGCCATCCATATGCAAGCTCAATACATACGCAAAGCGCACGAATCACGAGGCACGTCGATGCAACAGAAAAATAGAAAATCTGTGTAGATCACAATGTGTGTGTCGCGTGAGCTATGTACGACATAAGAGATATTTAAATGGGCTCCTTTAACTGAGACACCCTGCATATATATATATATATATATATATATTTATAATTTCTCTCTCAAGGAACTAGAGCTTTTCCATAAGGCATAAAAGCTGCGCAATGGATTCTCGCCAGTAACGTAGCTCGATAACAAAGCAGGCCTGTCGACAGAACGACCACGTTCGTCATAGCATCAATCTCTTTAAATTACATAACGAGTCGTTTTCGGTTCAACCCCGACCGCGAATCGTATAATCAATCTATTCCCTCGTAATAATAATTTATGTAGTGGAAGAAGAATCGATGCGATTTCGCACATTCGTTCGTCTGTTTGCTCTTTTCCTAAAGTCTTTCACTTTTCCGATTAACGTATTCGTTTTTTCATCTCTCTTAAAATCCATGACGTGAGTTACCGTGGGCGGCTAGAGCCAATGGGGGCCCGTGTTCGACGTAGTGTTAGTGTAATCGGGGGGTGTCGTGTGCTGCCTACAACCGACGGAGTAGGAGGTAGTGTGCTGGTCGATCAGTGTCGTCTCAATGGTCATCGAGTCCTGGAAAGGTGTCGTAGGCAGTGACGCCGCGTTCTGCCTCTTGATAGCGGACAAAACCTCGCGCAGCTGGCTCACCTGGGAGCAAGTCAGGTCAGGAGGGCACCACGTGTGTGTCTCTCTCGCTCTCTCGCTCTCTCTCTCTCTCTCTCTCTCTCTCTCTCACAGGCAATTTCTCGACAACACGCGTTTCTTTTCTATCTAACTCTCTTTTATACTAACTCTCGCTCGTTCACCACGATATTTCAGGTGGTTGCGATAGCTAAGAGAATGTTTCAAGTCCACGGTCTTCTTGTCTTTTTCATAAGAATTATGTATTTTCATGTCCAATTAGAACAATATATGATATAAATCCTTATGAAGACAAATTTCAAATTCCTGATGGCAAAGACAGACGTTTCGTCGAACGTTAAGAACATTACTTCGAAAACTATTCCTTTAGCTATTATAGAATGCTAGAATATTGCGCGTATGTACATCGAAGAGCAGATATGGAAGAAAGGAAAAAAGAGAAGCGGCAAAGAGTCTCAATTAGCCAGAAGGGGTCTGCTCTTTTTGAATATACAGGGTGAGCCTCGAACATGACGACTTCGAATAACTCGTAAGATGTTCGTCGCGCAATAAAAAAACGAATGTTGCATCGCTTCCAAGGGGACACGCGTACTCTATTTTTGTTTCTTTAGTTTTTTATCGAGATATGAGTATCAGCTTCAGTTTTCTAAACGGAATGTCCAATGTTCTTTTTCGAATTTCAATAAAGCACCAAATTCTGAGTGAAAAAGTATTATACCAATGAGGGCTTAAAATTAATAACTTATAATATGTAAACTAATTTCAAGAGGTGTCCATTACAATCAATGCATTTGTGTATTCTGAGTGAACATTTTCTAATGTTTCTGCAGTTATTGCGACACGTGCGCTACTGACGCATACTCGCATACATTCGGCCGTCGTTGATTAAAAATTTGTATCGTACAACGAGTACCTTGCGAGTTATTCGAAGTCGTCACGTTACAAGACTCCCCTGTATGAATCATTAGTAAGACGCTCAGCTGAGAACTCGTGGCGAGCGTGAGGGCACAAAACAGAGAAGCACAACGAACGTCAAACAGCCATAAGTGAGATATACTTATTCTCTTTTTCCATACAAATAGTTTATACAGAGAAGGACATGTATTTAGAAATACGGAAAGCGTGGCGTTGACCTACCTGAGCGGTGAGTTGTCGCAAACGTTCGGACTCCTCAGCTGTGGCATCGCGTCGCGCCGCGACCTTCACCTGCGCCACGTCTCCGTAAAATGACTCGGACCTCGGCGAGAAAGCCATGGTCAACTGGTGCAGCTCCTGCAGCGAATTCGAACAAGCGCGGAAGCAAGCCACCCCACAAACCTCCCATTGTTCCGGAGTAAGAAGCGGCCCGCTGCTCACCAAAACGTGCCTGAAGGAAACAAGTCGACACTCCAGAACCTCCGAGATAAATAACATGGTCCTGATTAATACTAGAGTTCATTTCAAGATGAATTTACTCTTTTTTGGAGCAACGAACTTTGACTATAGACGTATACATACGCCCTCGCACATCTACATATACATATAGCTCTATAGAGCTCAATGGTTATACGTAAATTGTTTTGAATGAAATCAAAACCACAGTACGTCAGTTTTAACTTTCGTCTTTTCAAGAAGGCACTTGACAATTAATGACTAAATTTTAATTCTTAATTGGAAGAACTTTAATTTAAGTCAATTGTTAATTAGTATTCAATTGAATTAAAGATTTAATCAGTTATTTGCAATCCTGCTTTAGAGGAGTTCTATCTCTCTCTCACACACTGATAGAAAGAAAGAAACTCTCATTAATTTTCTGTCCTTCAATCTCCCATCCGTGCGTTCGGTCTATTCTCGTATGTCTATGTAATATACTAAAATGTCAAGTGTCTATTAATTGCATTACATCCTCATGAAGCAAATATCCTTCTGATATACTTGGAGATACGTTTTGCATCGCTGAAAATCTCACTCATTGTCAGCTTCTCTGTTAAATATCCAGAAGTGGGTTGCTACCAAGAGTGGGTGACTCCTAAGATTTCAGATCAGAACCCCGTTCGTCATTCACAGTGCCGGGGACCCGGCTTGGCCTGGTCTGGCTAGTCCAGAGCTGGCTATCCGTCCTGACGAACCTGTCCCGTTTTTAAACTCCGCGCACGCCTGGTACATCGATACTCTGCGATCGACCCCGGACCGAGATCGGGTTACACGCGCGTCGACGTGTATGCGCGGGGCCGTACGCAAGGAGAAAACTCGTGCGCGCAAGGAGAACGGGCCCAGCTGGCCCCGAGAACAGGAACAGGATGGAGAGAGCCGGTATTCGTTCTCCTGTCTCGGTATAGGTTTGTGTGCGTTAGTCACTGGCACGACGCTCCGGGGGTGTCGAGTGTCGGTGGCTACCTTATCCCACCGGACAGCCTGTCAAGCTTCGTTATCATCTTACACGCACGCTACGCCCGTAACGACGATATATCTAACCTCCGTCGATGGACATTCCATCGTATACCTCCGCGTTATGATTCACTCTTTCTCTCTCAGTGCTCAAGCTTCCTCCTCTTTCCCTCGTTAATTTATTACCCTCGACTTTCAACAAAATCAATTTAATAAGTCAATGAAATACGTTTGTATACCTTCGGAAACATTTATTGGATTAAAATGATTGCGAATTTGGATTTATTAATTGGCAGAGCAACCTGCCTCTGGATACTTTACTTCTCTGTAAATATTTTTTCTAATTTATCTCTTCAAATATTCGACATAATTTTCTATCGCAATTCTTAAACTTCTGGCAGAGACCTTATGGCTCATATAAGCTTAAAGTTTGTCACGATTCCGAGTTAGTGATCTTAATTCGATAGTGAGTCATCAAGTGGGCAGAGGTCTTTGACACCCTTGGACATTTTTTTTGTTAGCTGAATTGAGGGACTTACCTAATACAGGCGCAACCGAGTCGAGCTATGCTTTCTGTGGGCTGGACCACGCACTCAGCCATCACCAACAATAATTGCTTCAACATCAGCGTCGTCGCGGTTAAATAAGCGTCGTTCCTGTCCACCTCAGGTCCTAAAAATATGAACAGAGATCGATCGTCATCTCCCTTCATCACATACTTGAATAAAATTGTCATTTGCACGACTGTAGATTTTTATGCAAAATAAAATGTTTATAGTACCAGATTAAATAATAATTACACCTTCAACAATACGAGAAAACAATTTTCGTTTTTCTTTTATTTTTTATAGAAGAATCTAGAAAAGGTCATTTAATGTTAAACGTTGCAACGTACATTCTGTTTTGATATTTTCTTTTTATACATTAAGTGCAACGTTAATATTTTTTTGCTTATTCATTTTTCTTATAAATGCACAAAATCCACAGCCTGTTTACTAAATATCCTTATGTCACCTTGCAAATGCGTCAGATAGTCGACGACCAGATCCGTGGTGAGTCCGCAGCATTGTTTAAAATTAGGTGCGAAATTGTCCCACCCTCTGAAAATCTTCGACGTCCTCCTCAGCCAGTTTTGAACCATCGGCAGCAACAAATGATTCACGCAGTACAGTCCGAAAGCTGGTCCAGGGACATTTAATGTATCCCTCAACAAATGGAACAGCGTTTCCAGAGTATGCGGCTGATATCGTTTGGGGCATATCATAGTGGCACTAGCCAAACCCTCGATCAGAATGTACCAGACCCTTAAAATACCGCTGGGCTTGTCCATGCTTTGCAATGTGGTGATAGTGTAAACGTTATCCATCAGAATATCGTGCGATCTCTCAGGTATAGTTTCCTGAATCGACTCCGCGTGTTTATCAAATCTGATCACCTCTGAATTGGGAATCGTGGGGTCGACGTATTGAGGGATGGTCGAGACTTGGATTCTCTGAGCGGAATGAAAGATCGGGCAAGCTGGCATGCCGTACATCGAAGCTAGAATATCGCTGCAGCTTAGAAGATATTTCAAGCTCTCTACGCAGAGCCTCATTCTTCTGGACTCGGCAGCGTCCAGTTGATCCTGCTCATCCTGATGATTGTCCGTCTCGCCCATGCCGCGCGCGTGTCTCAACAAACAGAGGATGCAATCTAGCGCTGCGTTGGCGAACACCAGCGTGTTGTCCGTGGACAGGAAGACCCGGAAGACTTCTAACAGCGGCGCGGACTCGACGGAATCTGAATTGCCTACCGAAGCTACCCGCAACGCGCCGAACAGCGGCCGCCACCCTGATCGAATCTCGGTCCTGTTGGTCTCGACGAACTCGCAGATGCAGCTAACGATCTGCACGTGTTTAATTCAAAAAGATTACTCTACGAATAATGATTTTTAATTTATTTCATTACTCACTTGATCTTGAACATCGCTGTCGCAGAGTTCCAGGCACAAGAGATTTTCAAACGGCTTGAAGAGCGCTTCGTTGAAATGAAAATGTGGCAGTTCGACCTGTTCGTTTAATAGAGCTGCCATCGAATCATGGATGCATTGAACAGCTTTCTTCGAAATGCTACGGTCTTTGTGGCAGGCCGCCTCCATGAAATGTGGCCCCAAAATACTCCAAACCTGGCAAAGAAATACGAAGTCCAGTGAATTCTTGGTTTACTCTTATCACAAGATTCATCCAGAATTTTTGAGAATAATTATCGCCTGACATAGAAATTTACCCTCATTATATGAATCAGCGGTCTTCCGCTCTTCACACATTTTAACATAACTTCTCCTAAACGTGCCAGTAGTAACACGTTCATCTCGTTTTCTCTCGGTTTGCTTCTTCTCCACCAAAATCGTTTATTGTCCTTAGAACCGTCAGTCGTTTTGAATAACTGCGCTTTGCTAGCTTTGCAGAGAGCCATTAGGAACGAGCACAGGGCTCGGAGATTTAATTTCAGTGCGGCGTTTTCGAACAATCTGTCAACTTGCTGGGACAACACGCAGATGATTTTCGCTGCGTAATCAGCCGGAAGTATTCCATTGAATTGGCTGTCTGCGTTTGATTCTTGGATGATTTCTGGGATGGTATCTGTACTGGGATTTTGTGTATATGGACTAGATAAAAAGCTGTAGACGTCAACGCTGAAACAATCAATGATTTCATTTTTTTTTTTAATAAGTAGATCGCGGACATTTTTCATTTATAAGAAAATTAAATGTATAAAAAATATAAACACTGCATGTAATGCATAAAAAGAAAATATTAAAAGCTGAGTGTATACTGCAATAAAAATGATAAAAAAAATTTATATCTATAACATATTTTTTAAACTAATACCGTAAATATTTTATTTTTAATTATTTAAGAGTTTTACCAAGTTTCTTCTTCATCGGCAATGTTAAAGTTGAGCTTTAATCTATCTTGACTTCCTTTCGGGTCACTATTCGATGCATCTTTCTTCTCTTTCTTCTGCTGAGTCTTAGGCAACGATGGATTTTGGTTTCTCCCAAAGAAATCGTGTTCTAATTTGCTCACGTAGAGGCAACACCTTTTCAAATCAGAGAAATTCATTTTCTACAGGTTCTCTCTTCAGGAAGTATCGGGCCCCCGCAAAACACTAGCTAATATCTCTTCTTTACATTTAACATTTTTCTAAAAAATGTGTGCTTTTGGAAATAACTGAGGGTCCAACACTTTCTGAAGACCCTACATAAGCAATTGTGTTTTAAAACAATGATGCCTTACGTAAAAACATGTGGCCAGCAATCGCTGCCGTGGCTACCGAGTTCCAAACCCTTGCCCAGAATAACATCCATGCTTAAAGCGTGCGACGTATGAATATTCGTTGCCCTGTTTTGTAATTTCAGACGAAGAACGTCTTTCGTCCTCGTAATTTTTGATATCGACTGCTCCGTGCAGGCAGCTTTCACTAACTGAGAGAATATCGAACCGCAACGATTTTGCAGTCCTGAGAAAAACGAGATTAAAGGAACAATTAAAATGAAAAAAATAATTATTGATTCTTTTTAATTTACCAAGTATGTTGCTCAAGATAGCAGCTTTGTGAAGGCCCTCCAATGCTAACACCACGATATCTCTGACACTCCGCCTGCTACCGTCTCTACTTAGAATTCCTTTATTATTCTGTTCCTTGGGTGGGTTCAATCCTGTAGTCAATACGGTCATCATGCTTCCCCAGCAGCATGTCAGTACTCTCCTCGACAGTTTGGCACCAGCCTCCGCTTCCGGTGTCGGCTCGCTTCGAGATAACTGAGCTTTCTCCAATCGTATATAGTCAGACAAAAGCTGTCCGCCTCGTTGACTACCGGGGATACCGTCGACGTCTTTCAAAATAGAAATGTCAATCAGATTTAAAACTGCGTAGGCTCCTCTTAAAGTTTGTATTGTTATTCGATCTCCGCAAAAGTTACACGTTTTCTAAATATATTACATCCTTTGATTTTGTTACATAGTAAACCTACTAATAAGCAATATCAATTCAAGGGACGTGTTCTAGAGTCCAAAATAAGATGAAAATAAAGAGAGAGAAAATTGCGTTCTGGGCTTCGTTAATTGTTTATTAACATTTAAAAATTTGATGCTTTTGCCCCTGAAAGAGACAATCCGACTCGCATCGGCGGAAATTTTCAGCATACGCGCAGCTGACCGCCGTCGATCGATGCATGTCGATAACCACATTTCAGGGGTAAAAACATCAAATTTCTAAACGTTAATAAATACTTAATGAAACCCTAAACGTAATTTTCTCTCTCTTCATTTTCGTCTTATTTCGGACCTTGAATACATAATGTTTTGCGAATTTTTAATGTTACTATATCTAATTTTCAATTGTTCTAAAGTTTTTTCCTGCGTCAATCGTGAACTTATGATAATAGAATTTTCAAATATGTATCACTATTTTAACTTACAGTCAGAAGAACTTTAATTGAAATGAGGATTACGTACCGGTTAATACATTTATCAGTGCGCTGTTTTCCGTGTAATGAGGGTTGTAGCCACATTTCTCTAATAAATTGCAAGCCAGAACCTGCTG